AGAGCCATCTCATCTTAGCGGCAAATCAATATCTTTTATTTTTATAAACACTCCGACTTTTTTCATATGGATTTGTTTAATTTTTTCTAATGAAAATATTCTATCTTTATTCATATTCTCTCTCAAAGGAATTGAACGTATAATTCCTAGGAATATATCTAATCTGTTATAATGTTTGAATTATTTGTCTATGTCCGACACAAAGTAGGTTAAAGTCAACATTTTATATACTTCTTTCTATACAGGCATGCGTTCTTCATTTTGATAACAGACGTAACAGTATCTTCCTATATCCCTTTTGGCTTAAATATGATCATTTAAGTTGGATTAGTTACTGGTTTATCTAATATTGCAACCAGACTAAGCTATACAACATATTCCTTTATCAAAGATTTTTTTCGTATTTTTTGAACATAATAAGTCATTTTGAAATGGACTAAGGCGACACTTCATACGGTATCTTTCGATAATTTTCGGACAATTCTTTTTTATATGTTTATTGTTTTAGATATTCATCTTGATAATTGAATCAACTCATGGCGAATATTGATTTGAATTTGTAGGTCTGATGAATTACGATTCCAATGTAATAAATTATAACCAAGGAATATTAGTGTTTGAGCCTTTTATATTATATCCTTACTCTGTCCTACCTAGATTCTATCCTCTTGAAATTTATATATATATATATATATATATATATATATATTGATATAATATTATCAATATATATATATATATATATATATATATATATATATATATATACACACACACACGTATAAGCATATACATGTATATTCATACATGTGTGTGCATATGTCTACAATCAAGTATACAGTTCCATACGTGTGTATATGTAATTAGATAAATCCGTACAAAAATATACGTAAGGCTTCTTTCAATTCTTTCCAAAACGCAAAGCTGAAAAGAGTGTCTGATTTAGCTTGATTCCAGCGATTCACGCATGCGTCTTGTTGATACAAAATCGGAATAAAGCGTTGCTTGAAAAGAGCAGTGAACCGTAATCAAGAACTCGGCATCGTGGGCATTCATCCATTCTCTTTATTCGCGCGCTCCTGCTCGAAGCAGATTTTGCAACGACTAGGAAAGCATAAGAAAGCTAACCCGGGGTTTCGGAAGTGAAGGGAGGAGGGTGATGGAGATGCGGAGACGGCCCTGGTCGAGTCATTCGTTTTTCCATTCGTGTCTATTCCTTCAATGGATTACATTCGAACTTCCTCCGCGTTCGTTTACTTGTAATCGCGCGGAGTGTGTGTTTTGAACGGTTTCTGCTCACTGGGCACCAATGGCGCGAAAAATGTAAAACTGACAGGGCGAGGCAGGCAAAGGTGCCTTCGTTTGGTAAGTATCGAAGAATGGATCGAAGGAGTGGGTATATAAGAGGAAGAGACAAGAATTAAAATGCTCGTGGGAAATGAGACATGGGGTTAACAGGGAAGACGTATTTATGTTTTTTTTTTATTGATAAAATCACGTTTTTTGTTTTTCATTGTATATTGAACTTTGAATTGTTTTAGTTGAGATTTAAAAGGTGTGGGATATTTTAAGTTTTCAAATAGAGCATGATTGTTCTCGGCTATACCATTTAAATATATTTTTTTCGGTTTTCCTTTTTATATTCAGTGTTTTAATTTATTTTCATAGGACATCTTTTTCATAGGACATCTTTTTCATAGGACATCTTTTCCAATGTTCCTAACGATTTATAATAACTTAGACTAGATAACGTCATCTCTTGTTGTTTCTCACATCTTAATTTTACTTCTTAGCGACTATATAAACATTGTCAGTCATTCTAGATTTACAGATGCGGACGTATTATTTACGTAGGTGCGTCAATACCTTTTTAAAAAACATTTCACCTCAAGCAAGACAATAAAGCTACTAGGGCGCAAGAGGTTACTGAGTGAAAAAGAATACGAGAAAAAGAAAAATTAAGAAAAAGTGAACGATACAAAACAGGAATTTAACAGACGATAACGACTGACATTGCATTTAAATTTTTAAAAACCAAAACTGACTGGAAATCAAGAAGAATAAAAAGAGATACGTTCGACTATCGTCCAGTTCAAACTCATCCCCGATCTTTTGAACAGGATTAGACCTTTATCCCTTGTTTCCTATTTAGGATTGGGTTTCAGGTTCTCTATAAAGTCTTCCCATTCTCTTTCACGCTGACTACCCCCTTGCGTTTTAGTTGCATTATCGCCCTGCATGGGGTGAATTGATAAAAAACAAAGAAAGAAAAAACAGTCCTACATGCGAGACTTGCGCTAGAAGAAACATATAGCATAGAACAACATACGGCTACGCGATTTTAATTGTAAAATGATGAGACATTTTTAGCTTAAGATGATATAAAACCTCCATTTTGAATCTTTTGTCTCGGCTCGCACAATGGCTCTCTACCAGGTTCCATTCGAGTAAATATACAGACAAATCCCATGATAAAATCGCATTTCTCACTCGGGACTGGTATAATTCCAGGTGAGCCATCCTCCCAAGAAATGACCACTTTCATTGTAGGAAGAAATGAAAAGCCAGAGTCAATGTCGTGGGCATTAATTTCGTGTCCAAGTTCTGCGTAATATTCACGCGCGCATGCGCACTCACACACAGACGGTTGGTTGGTTGGTTGGGTTTTATGGCATATCAACCACTGTAGGTCATTTAATGCCAAATTAAGTTATATATATATATATATATATATATATATATATATACATATATACCTATATATATATTAAATATGCAGTACTATTAAACGTATAGCTGGCAACATTATTTTTTCAAAAAAACGTATAGCTGGCAACATTATTGTTTCAAAAACGTATAGCTGGCAACATTATTGTTCCGAAAACATTATCTGAGGCCTTGCTGTTGGACGTAGTTTATCGTCATATCCAGGACGCGGATGTAGTTTATTGTCACACCCAGGACGTCACACAGACGGGTAAACGACCAACTTAATATAAATTTAATTAAACTACATTTTCTTTTCAAATGGAAACACACTTTGAGTTTTATATATTAGAAAAAATATAGCATTGTGGATAAAAATATAAAGTTCAACTGTTAAATAGTGAGGTAAATTACTTGATCAGGCAATGGAGGAATCAGTGCATAGTTATTGATGATTAGATTTTAACTTCTACATCGTTGGCATTAATTTTAAGAATGGAACATGTGAGCTTGTCATATTAGTTGTTGCTCATGCCTCTTCGTATGAATTCTCAGTTCAAATGCGAAAACACAACGTTTTCAACATGGTTTGCATGGAATTCCGTCTCCTGGAGTTGGGGTTCCTTTTTCCTGTCTCTTTCTTTCATATTTGGGGGTGGAGATTAGCGCAGATTTTATTTTAGCCGTGTAGCGGGCTGACTTGAAAGATTCAGTAGACAGGTCAATTACAGAACAACAGTTTGAGCGCCACATTCTTGGAGGGTGGACTTAAACCGATCTATTTTTCTTCTGAACAACGTATTAAGGATACATGCCTCAGTGGATAAAAGTGTTGGTTGAATTAATCCACTGACTTAACCCAAACAGTTTTGAGTTTATTATCTGTCCACAGCAGAGGTGAATAAAAATTTGGAGAGTTAAGTTACTGAATGGAAATAGCTGAAACTGAGATATCCAGAAAAGGCATGGGACGTGGAACTATAAAAAATTTTTCCCAGTTGATTTAGGTTTGAAATTCCAACGTATATCCCATGAAGAAGGCCGGAGCGTATAACGGCCGAAACATCGTGAATATGAAAATAAACATGAGGAATGTACGCCGAGTTAAATGTATAGCATCTATCAGATCTCTGTATAAGATCTGAAGAGGTCAACGGTTATCTGACAATTACGTGTCCGATCCCTCTGATAAGCTTTCATCTTTCGTAGCTAGATTTTATATATTTAAGCGCAGTACAAGATTGGCGGCAAGAACTCATCATTTTACATTTGAAATGGTTAGATGTATTCGTAAGTTCTATGATAACAATTTCTTCGCTCGCAGTTCTCGCTTATAGAATTCTCTTTCGACTTCTTGCTTTCCAGTCAAAAATTCAAATGTAATGGAAATCGTTATTCTTTGTTTTCTGATTGTTTTCTCTCTTTAATAATCTTTTCTCTTTTTTCTAATATTCTATCGCACTGAGTAACCTCTTGATTTATTGCCTTGCTTGGGTGAAAATGACTAAAAAACGAATCCAAGCTAGCGTGATGGTCATGCATTCAGCGCTTGTGATATTTGCTTTCTGCAGTATCTTTACGGGCTAGGTTTTGTCAGGACACGGGATACTGTTATATAGGAATAAAGTGTCGCTGCCGACACTTGAGTTTGAACATCGATCGCCAGTGAGTAAACCCCAGGCGATCCCATTTTTGAATCAAGTAGACCACGTGACCATAGAGGAAACGCATAAGTAGGAAGTCGCGTGACGTCTAGATTGATCTCCCCTTCTACTCTATCACTATACGGACCACTATTCTCTACTCTATTTACTATACCATTCTTCTATTCGGATTACTATACGGATTAACTGTTCAAGCGAGTATTATTTAGCAAGTACTATGAGTGCGAGTGATATTCGAAGGCGTCTAACACCGGTATTGTTCAACGGCGTACTACAACTGTATCTGCGATTACAAAGTCTCTACTACAACGAGCAGGACGAAAAGGACAACAAGTGTTCTTTGACACCACAAAAGATATCGAAAATGATCTACAGTCACCAAATGAGAAAGGCCCCTAGTTTCCTGATTCCAGCTTTTTATATAGTCCAAGAACATGGGTTGACATTCAGCCTTGACTTTTATTTTGGTATGCAGCATCAGGTCACGATTTAGAAAGACCCTCTACTTAAGCTTGTCAAAACTTGAGTCGGCAGTTCTTATTCGATTTGCGATCTCGTCTTCAAGAACGCGGGAAGAGCATAGGATACTCTCAAGATCATTAAGTTCTCATCATGTACCATGACGGCTTACAGCCACAACGCGTTTAAACACTGGTTCCCGTACAATCACCGAAGTTAAGCAATGACAAACTTGGTCAGTACCTAGATGGGTGACCGTTGAGGAATACTAAGTGCTGTAA